CGGGATGTGGCTGGGGGCTCGGTGGGCAGCGTGCTGGGGGCTGGCTGGGGTGGGATGGGGCTGGCGTAGGGTGAGGAGCCACCCCGTGCCCCCGGGACCCCCGGCTGCCCCCCATGCGCTCACCGCCCTCCCCCTGCATTGGCTGCAGGTGTGGGGAGATGGCCGGCACCATGCGCTCGCTGCGGGCCCTGCTCTGCCTCTGGCTACTGGCCGAGGTGGCCCCGGCTTCCCGGGTCCGCACCCGGGTCCGCACCCGCCGGGAGCTGGGCCCGGGCTTGTACGAGCACGGGGTCTACGATGCCGGGGGGTCCTACTGCCAGCGGGGGGACGTCTGCTGCCACGGCCGCGACGACGCCTGCACCGTGCCCTACCACGACACCCTCTGCTACTGCGACCTCTTCTGCAACCGCACCGTCTCCGACTGCTGCCCTGACTTCTGGGAGTACTGCCTGGGCATCCCGGCCCCCTTCCCCAAAGCCCCAGGTGAGGCAGCCCCCAGCCCAGCCGGGCGGGGGGTCTGTGGGTGCCAGGGAACCAGCCTTGGGGTGCCTGGTGTCCTGTGTGATGCCGCTGGTGCCCGTCAGGGTAATGGGTGCAGCTGGATGCGGCCCCCCACAGCCCTGCCCTCGCTGCAGAGCCTCTCCAGACCCCTTGGAGCTCTGGAAATTTGGGCAAAATGGCTGGGCTGGGGGTCAGGCTCCTAGAAATGGGGCTGGGAGCAGCCGGTGGCCCCACAGCCCATCCCCTGCACCTCCCCACGGGCAGGGATGTGGGGGGCAGAGGGGCAGCTGCAGCGGGGGGTACCTGTGGGGCAGAGCAGGGGTGGATGGGGCTCCATCCCAGCTTCTCCTGTCACGTCTGGGGCAGGCGGCTGCTGGCCCTGAGTTAACCCTCCGGGCAGCTGGGGCGGCCGGGGGCGAGTGGGGGGCACGGGCAGCCCCCGCCGCGCAGCACAAGGCTCTCTCAGAAGTCCCTGGAGAGCGGAGCCAGCTCCCGGGTACAACTGGCCCCTTTATCCCCCATCCAGCCGGGATCTGCGTGCGCCCCCCCCCACCATTAACCCTCCCAGCACCGGGCCAGCCCTGCTCCCACCCTGCCCCGTGGGGCATGAACTGGTCCCTGCCGTGGGTCTGGAGGGGCCGGGATGGGGCACCTGCCTGGCTTTGAGGATTTATTAATTTTCCCCCTTGGTGTTCCCCCCACCCTGCAGCCACGGGGGGGCTGGTGGGACCCCCACTGCGGGCAGGCACTCACCAGGGCTCTCCCCTCTCCCACCCAGGCTGTGCCCGCGCTGGCCGCAGTTATCCCACCGGAGCCATGTACCGGGAGAACTGCAACCTCTGGTGAGTCCCTGCCAGGGCCGTGCGGGCACCGGGGAGCCTTGTGGGCAAGCGGGGCTACTGAAAAGGGCCCGAGCTGGGTGGTTTTGGGGGGGCGGTGCCAAATGCCTTTGCTCTGGCATATTCGGAGCCCGGGGGCCTTGAGCCGCTCCCAACTTTTCGGCACATGCCTTTGTGGGAGCCGCTGGCTCCGCCGGGCTGGCTGCGGGTTGCCGGCACCGGCCCGTTGCTGCCGGGGGGGGGGGTGGTTTGTGGGTTTTTTTTCTTTTTTCTGGCCACGCTGGTCCAAACCCAGCTTGCCTGAGCCTGACGGGACGTGTCTGCAGCCGGCAGCCACCCCGGCTCCGCGCCAGGCGGCCAGAGTCCGTCCCGCAGCCGGTTTTGGGGGTGCGAGGAGCTCGCCTTGAGTGTGAGCGAGGGTTTATCTGGCAAACGGCCGCTGTGGTATTAATGGCATCCTGGAGGTGGGGGGGCCGGGAATGCCTTGGTGGGAGCCGCTGGCTCCGCCGGGCTGGCTGCGGGCTGCCGGCACCGGCCCGTTGCTGCCGGGGGGGGGGCGGTTTGTGGGTTTTTTTTCTTTTTTCTGGCCATGCTGGTCCAAACCCAGCTTGCCCGAGCCTGACGGGACGTGTCTGCAGCCAGCAGCCACCCCGGCTCCGCGCCAGGCGGCCAGAGTCCGTCCCGCAGCCGGTTTTGGGGGTGCGAGGAGCTCGCCTTGAGTGTGAGCGAGGGTTTATCTGGCAAACGGCCGCTGTGGTATTAATGGCATCCTGGAGGTGGGGGGGCCGGGA